AGTAGTAGTAGTAGTAGTAGTAGTAGTAGTAGTAGTAGTAGTAGTAGTAGTGGTGGTGGTGGTGGTAGTAGTAGTAATAGTAGTAGTAGTAGTACTACTAGTACTACGGCAACTCTGTATCGTTTTTTTCGCATTCAGGATGGGAGGGCCCGCAGCCCGCATGGACGTCCGCGCGCCATGTGCGCCGCGTCCCACTGCTGCCACATATTTCGCACCGTCGGCGGCAAGGCAGGCCACGCTGAGAGAAATTAGCCTGGCGAAGGACCCAACCATATGCAACTGTGAGTAATGCTGGTGTGAATACCGTCTTCGGTGGATCTCCCTATGGGGCCACGAACCGTTTGAGGGGTGCCGAAATGGGTGTGGGGGCGGCATGCGAACGTTGCCACTGGGGCCTTCGGTGGAGATCCTTATGGGGCCACGAAACGTGTGAGGGGTGCACCGAAGTTGGTGTGGGGGCGGCATGCGAACGCAGCCACTGGGGCCTTCGGTGGAGCTCCCTGTGGGGCCACGAAACGTGTGAGGGGTGTGCCGAAATTGGTGTGGGGGCGGCATGCGAACGCAGCCACTGGGGCCTTCGGTGGAGCTCCCTATGGTGCCACGAAACGTGTGAGGGGTGTGCCGAAATGGGTGTGGGGGCGCATGCGAACCCAGTCACTGGGGCCTTCAGTGGAAATCCCCATGGGGCCACGAAACGTGTGAGGGATGTGCCGAAATGGGTGTTGGGGAGGCATACGAACCAGGCCACTGGGGCCTTCGGTGGAGCTCCCTATGGGGCCACGAAACGTGTGAGGGGTGTGCCGAAATGGGTGGTGGGGAGGCATGCGGACCCGGCCACTGGGGCCTTCGGTGGAGCTCCCTATGGGGCCACGAAACGTGTGAGGGGTGTGCCGAAATGGGTGGTGGGGAGGCATGCGAACCCTGCCACTGGGGCCTTCGGTGGAGCTCCCTATGGGGCCACGAAACGTGTGAGGGGTGTGCCGAAATGGGTGGTGGGGAAGCATGCGAACGCAGCCACTGGGGCCTTCGGTGGAGCTCCCTATGGGGCCACGAAACGTGTGAGGGGTGTGCCGAAATGGGTGGTGGGGAGGCATGCGGACCCTGCCACTGGGGCCTTCGGTGGAGCTCCCTATGGGGCCACGAAGCGTGTGAGGGGTGTGCCGAAATGAGTGTGGGGAGGCATGCGGACCCTGCCACTGGGACCTTCGGTGGAGCTCCCTATGGGGCCACGAAACGTGTGAGGGGTGTGCCGAAATGGGTGGTGGGGAGGCATGCGGACCCTGCCACTGGGGCCTTCGGTGGAGCTCCCTATGGGGCCACGAAACGTGTGAGGGGTGTGCCGAAATGGGTGGTGGGGAGGCATGCGAACCCTGCCACTGGGGCCTTCGGTGGAGCTCCCTATGGGGCCACGAAACGTGTGAGGGGTGTGCCGAAATGGGTGGTGGGGAGGCATGCGAACGCAGCCACTGGGGCCTTCGGTGGAGCTCCCTATGGGGCCACGAAACGTGTGAGGGGTGTGCCGAAATGGGTGGTGGGGAGGCATGCGAACGCAGCCACTGGGGCCTTCGGTGGAGCTCCCTATGGGGCCACGAAACGTGTGAGGGGTGTGCCGAAATGGGTGGTGGGGAGGCATGCGGACCCTGCCACTGGGGTTTTCGGTGGAGCTCCCTATGGGGCCACGAAGCGTGCGGTGGAGCTCCCTATGGGGCCACGAAACGTGTGAGGGGTGTGCCGAAATCGGTGGTGATGATGATGATGATGATGATGATGATGATGATGATGATGATGATGATGATGATGATGATGATGATGATGATGATGATGATGATGATGATGATGATGATGATGATGATGATGATGATGATGATGATGATGATGATGATGATGATGATGATGGGAGGAGGGAGGGGGGGGAGGAGGAGGAGGTGAGGAGGAGGAGGTGAGGAACGCGGGGCGCCGTCTCTTCAAAACGAGGACCCAACACCACAGGATGGTTGGGAAAAAACAGAGACTTTGTATTGATTGTTTACAGTCAGGATGGGCGGGCCCAGATTGACGGCCGCGCGCGATGTGCGCCGCGTCCCATGGCTGCCACATATGTCGCACCGTCGGCGACAAGGCAGGCCATGCTGAGAGGACACAGCAAAGACTTTGTATTGATTTTTTACAGTCAGGATGGGCGGGCCCAGGTTGACTGCCGCGCGCGATGTGCGCCGCGTCCCATTCCTCTCACGCTTTTCGCATCGTCGACGACAAGAAAGACGACGTTGAGAAGAAAAACTGCCACTTTGTATTGATGTTTTACAGTCCGGATGGGAGGTCCCGGATCGGGTTACTATCGGCCGGAATACGAGGTAGGTGGGGGTATATAATAATAAGGAACAAGGATATGGTGCGGGTGCGTGGGCGTGTGCGTGTGCGTGTGCGGGTGCGTGTGCGTGTGCGTGTGCGTGTGCGTGTGCTTTGGCGGTTCCCGCCGCTCCCCTCGCGTCAGCCTCCCAGCGAGTCATGCGGGCGGATCCAACAGCCCCACGCCGCGTGACTGGGGCCGGCCGCGCGCGACTCTTCGCCCGACTTCCTGCGTCACGCCGCTTAGCACGCTGCCGCGAGACACCCGAAAAAGTGCTCGGCGAGTTGGTGCGATTGGGAGGTGCGGAGCGTCGACGCCGCGCCAGCCTGCACCGACCCTCGCCCCGCCGGCAGAAAGCTGAAAGGAGAGGGCACTTCAGAAAAGGGAGGGGCCACCAGAACGCCCTGACGGCTCCGCCTCGCCTCCACCCACCTTGCGGTCTTGGGTCCCTCAGGTGCCTCCCGAAGGCCGCGGGGCTCGCAGGCAGGGCCCGAAGCCCCCCCCCCCAGGAACCCGTTGCACTGATGCAGAGGCAGGCATTTCTCTAGCAGCACGAGGACGAGAGCCTTCCATCCCCAGCAACAAAACCGCACATAATATCGAGCGCTCCCGACACACCGCCTGGTGTAAAGACTGGCCCCACCCTGGTAGGCTGGCCCCCTGCAACGACAAACTGTAGATGCGTGCGCGTTCTATGATTGGGACATCCGAGAATACGCTGGCCTGAGCTCGTGTTGGGTCCCTTGCGATTGGGTCTTGTCCTGTCAATCTCCAGGACTATACCGATCCGCACGTCTTGGCTTGACATTCGCAGCGATCGTGTTGGACACCCCTAGGTCGCCGACGTGACAAGTTTGTGTGCACTCGTTTGATCCTGTTGCCCCCTTGTTGAGGTAGCATGGCAGCATTCGTAACGCGGTGTGGCCAATGCCCATCCCATGACCGCTCCGTGCCAGTCAAGGTAGCCTCCACGCGGGGTCTGGTTAACGCGCATCATTGTGCCCGCGGTGGGTGATGGCCGCCAGGGTCGCAACCAAGCCAGGCAGGAAAGATGGTCTCTCTTCCTTTATTGTGGTCTGTTTCTCTCTCTCTCTCTCTCTCTCTGCCTCTCTCTCTGTCTATATATATATATATATATATATATATATATATTTATACATATCTATAGATCACTCTGTCTCTCTCCCTCTCTCTACAGTGCGGCGCCGCGCGCCACCCTGTCGAGAACTAGCGTGTAGGCTTGTGTGTGTGTCACTGTGTGCGCTCCACCAGGGTTTCTGGCTCTGCGCGCCCGCGCACGTCTCCACCCAAGGTGGATAAGTTGCCCTGACCATTGCATGGTTTGGAAATTCGTTTGCAGGCGTCTGCTCCCCATCATCGCGTCGGAAGAGACATGTGAGTGCTCCCTTTCTTGGAAGGCCTTGTGGCCAGTTCCACCAACCCTGAAAAGAGATCGACCAGGGCGGACGAGGCGAAAGGGGGCACGAGAGCAAGGGGAAGCGGGACAAGCAACAAGGCCCCCCCCCAGTTGGCCAGAAGCTGGCACAAGCCCCACCAGCGCTCTGTGAGCAGGTGGTTTCCAACGCCAGCTCTTCCATGACAAACCACCCCTCATTTCTTTTCGGGGACAGGTTCACCCCTCCAAGTCATCCACGCGGGTTTGAACCGAAGGAGCCCCGAGTCGTGAGCGCGTCCAAGGTGACCCTCGATGGCTCCACGGCGGCCCCAGGCAGTCCCAGAATACCTGCAAGATGATACAAGTTTGTCCTCGTGGGCCCAGGATGCGCTCCATCATGGCTCCAAGGGGTCACAAAAACGGCCCCAAGGTTGCTCGAGTTTATTTCCAATAGTTTGAGCCATCTCCTATGTTCGGCGTCCGATGGGCATCTGATGCATGAGGATGTCTCCGAGAGGGCCTGAGAGGGTGCCCTGCGAAAAGCCCCGAGGGACCCAGGGAGGCCCCCCCAAAGCCCCCAAGAACACACAACAAGAGTCTCAAGAGAGTCCCGAGACCCCCTGGGCCGCCCCCCGCGCCGTGGCGGGGATGGAATCAATCAAAGTGAAGAAGCTGCTCTTTGACTTGGTTGCGACGTGGCTCGATCTTGCTGAGGCCGGAATGCCGGAGGAGGGGGGGGGGCACGGCCCATGGCGGCCAGAAGGAGTGGGGGGAACAACCTCTCCGCAAGGGCCAAACGGAACAGGGCCCACAGCCAGCATGCCCGCCCGTGGAGGAGGAGGGTGAGGAGTCCTCCTCCTGTTCCTCCTTGTCGTCATCATCATCATCATCAGCAGCAGCATCAGCAGCAGCAGCATCAGCAGTAGCAGCAGCAGCAGTAGCAGCAGCAGCAGCAGCAGCATCAAGCATCATCCTCCTCCTTAGGATCATCACCATCATCAGCATCATCGTCATCATCAGCATCATGACCATCAGCAGCATTATCATCTTCGGCATCGTCATCCTCATCATATAATCATCATCAGAAGCAGCATCCTCCTCATCATAATCATAGTCAGCATCCCCATCATCATCAGCATCATCATTATACTATTGCCCCTCCCCTGCATCTCCACTGTCACTGTAAACTTCATCACTTCCTCCACATCCCTGCTCGATCGTGAATTACCTCTGTCCTCCCATCTATCTGGCCGCCTCGCTCGTACATGTCGGTGAGCCGCCCTGGCGAAACCGAGAGGCACAGCGGGGCGAACGCGGGGAAAGGGAAGTGGAAATAGAAGTGGACGGAGGCGGGCAGCGACGGGGACGGAGGGCAGAGAGGGAGAATGAGGCGGGGGAGGTGAGGGGGAGGGGGGGGCAGTGAGCAGGCAGAGGTGGACGGGGAAGGGGACGCCGGGAGGGAAGAAGGAGGAGCGGAGCAGAGCAGAGTAGAGCGGCCCGCGGGGAGGCGGGAAGTCCGCCTGCCCCGGCAAGGCGCCGGGCCGACATCAGAGGCGAGGTGTGAACATAATCTTCAGGCGTGAAGCTGCGAAACCACCGTGCGAGACGAAACAAGCACCGCTGCGCGGCGTGACAGACGTCCGGTATCAGACGCCGGGTCGAGAGCGTGGTCCGCAGCAGCAGCGGCAGGAAGAGCAGGGGAACGGGAGGACCAGAAGCTCAAACAGTGACACGTCTGTCCACCTCGTCCGCGGGCGGCCTACGATTCTCCTTGCGCTCACTCGAAAAGAAGGTACCAAGGTGGGAGGGAGAGGAGGAGGGAGGAGGAGGGGGGGGGAGCGGGAAGGGCGCGAGGCCGAAGAGGAGGGACGAGATGGAGGAGGCGGAGGAGGAGGGGTAAGAGGACCGACCAGGCTGGAGCGTCGGAGTGGCAAGTTAACAAAAAACGAGGAAGGATGCCGAGACGGACTAAGAGGACGAGAACGGGGACGAGGCGGAGGAGGCCGAGGAGGAGTAGCAGCAGGATGACGAGGCGAACGGTAGAGGAAGGGGCCACGACAGATCAGGACGATCTTTCGGCGTTGCAAGCCTGAAGAAGGCCCGCTCCAGCCCGCGCCACGAGTGATATAGGTGGTTCACACATGTATGTCAATCGGCGATCAAGACGCCTGGGCGGGAATGCGGATATCGAATGTCTGCCCCGCTCCATCTCCTGTCAGGCATACCTGGGGCGGGGTGGCCGATTTCGAACGAAGGCCATTCTGGCGCGCAACGCAATAAGGGTAACAACAAGCATGCCAGACTTGCTTTCTGCATCAGGCGGAGGTCAGAGTCAGAGTCCAGAATGAACGCGAGATCCAGAGAGGGAGCAGGAGGCAAGTATGCAGATGCGGGCACAAGTGGCCTTACATGTAGAGGCAAGCATGACCCCAGCGGGCAGCAGCTGTCTGGGAGGTCAGATCTGAGCCTCCGCACTCAGTGCCTCCTGCTGCATAGCCGCCACCCGAGCCGCGTCGGACGGAGCGGCAGCAGCAGGACTCCGAGACAAGCCTGCGACGCGCGCCGATCACTTGGCAACTGCCTGACACGATCACTGACAGCGCTCGAGAGACTCCCAGACACCTCGGCGCGGCAAAAGTCCCCCCGTGGGCCTGGGGTGGCGATGAGGATGTCGCAGCCCTTCTCGAGTTCCGACCGCTGTTCCCTCATGTCCGCACCTCCGTAGATGATGCACGCACGGATCCTGGCGCTGGCGCGCGAGAGAGGGGCAAGGAGAGCTGCATAGACACAGCAAGCTCCGACATGCAGGGCACTAGCGCGCCCGCACACTCTCCGGCCCTGTCTCGAAGAGAAGACTGGGGGATGGCAGAGCCAAGCAACATCAAGTCTTAACATGCTCAAACTCACACAGATGGGGGGGGCGCTTCGCTTCAAAGCCGTAATCTCGATTCAATGCTGCGCACGCTACTTACAAAATACTGCCAGCCACATGGATGGCAAGCGGTTCCTTCACGAGCTCGTCAATTTGGCACGGTTCGCAGTTAAACCGTAATGACGCTGTTGATGTCGCATCTTTACGAGAAGCTAATTGCTTCTCAACGTATCTGGGCAAGCAAGGGTGCAGAACGATCGTATGAACCTTCCCGCCTGGAAAAGCATCGTCACCAGAGCGTCTGAGTTAGTCCTTCCTTGTCATCCCCCTCCTCATCCATCTCCCCCCGTATCCTCCACACCTTCCTCCTCCTCCTCCTCCTCCTCCTCCTCCTCCTCCTCCTCCTCCTCCTCCTCCTCCTCCTCCTCCTCATCATCATCATCATCATCATCATCATCATCATCATCATCATTATTAGCAGTATCATCAACATCATCATCGTTGTCATCAGCATCAGCATCAGCATGATCATCAGCATGATCATCAGCAGTATCATCATCATCATCATCCTCCTCATCATCATCCTAAGCATCATCAGCATCATCATCATCAGCAGCATCATCACCATCACCATCACCATCACCATCACCATCACCATCACCATCACCATCACCATCACCATCACCACCACCACCACCACCACCATCATCATCATCATCATCATCATCATCATCATCATCATCATCATCATCATCATCATCATCGAGTTCGTCCTCCTACGTCGCACGCCCCGCAGAGGAAATCGATGACCAGCCCAATCGCCTGGCAGGAGATTATGTCCCCTGACGTCTAGCAACTCCGAGCAGCCGATCCCGCGTCTCTTCGTAATGGATGGCTTGCGATACTCTGGCCTGAATGGAACCCCTCCTCGCCCTCCCCCCACGGGGACCAAACAACGTATCCCAGGACCAGACCAGAAAGCTTTTCCGGAGCAATCGTTTTGCTGGACCGGACGGGTCCAGCTTACACCTTCGGCCCAACCCAGACGTTGATCTGATCCTGGAACCCGCTATACCGCTTGCTGCAGGACCAGAACAGACCGTCGCTACAAGTCCGACCCTGATCGGGCGGAAGCCAGGCGGATTCCGCAGCACCCGCCCCCTCCTGCACGTCCCACGCCCACGCCCACGCCCACGCCCACGCCCACGCCCACGCCCACGCCCACACAAACACACGCACACGCACACGCACACGCCCCCTGCAGCTGCAGACGCGCCGGTCCCCGTGTCGAAGGAGAACTTCGTGCTCTCCACGTGGATCTGCGCCGCCAGCTCGCGCGTGGGGGCCAGCACGAGGCCGCACGGCATCGGCTTCGGGCGCGACCGCGAGCCTGGCGGGGCCCTCCTCTTCCTCCTCCTCGCGGTGCTGGCGCTCCCCGCCGCGGCCTCTCCCCGCCCTCGCCGGTGTGCCCAGCCACACCGTCGCCCTCGCCCCCTGTGCCTTCCCATCTGCGCCTTCCCCCCCTCCCTGACGCCTTCGTCTGCTCCAGCTCTGAGGGGGGGGGCGGGGAAGGGGGCAGAAGCAGAAACTTGCAAGGGGGGCTCAAGATGGGGAGGGTGAGGGCGACAGCGAAGGTGCGGAGTCGGAAGAAGCAGGAAGCCGAGTCGGGCAAGAGCTAGAGGCACCGAGAGCGACCGACGGTAGGGTTCCCGACCGACGGGGGCGGCGGCGGCGGTCGGACGACTAGGACTTGGAGATCAAAAATCCGAAAGAGCATGGCCCCTTGCCTTATCCCCTTCCCCTCGCCACCCATCCCCCCATCTCCAACTTGTCATCTCGACCCTCTCCTCTCCCTTCCCTTCCCCTCCCTCGCCTTCCTTCCCGCCCCCCTTGCTCTGTCATCCGCACCCTCTTCACTGCCCACGCAGGCACACACACGACAGACGGCCACATACCTCCGATCGCCTTCCCTCCGCCCCTCCGTGCAGAGCCCCCCCCACGCGGCCCGTGTTGAGAGCTCAGGCAGCAGCCAGGAGGGTGCGTCCCAGCGGCGCAGGAGTCCGCCAGACGCCGTGGACGGGGGGGCCGCGTGCGGCCAAGAGCATCGACCTTGGATCTCGCTCCGCAGTGCTCGCTCGCAAAGGTCAGTCGGAAAGCTTACCGGCATGCAGGGGCCACCAGTGGGGCTCCAGAGGCAGCCCAGGCACAGAGCCTCCAAACTGGTGTCTCGCAGAAGCAATCGGAGATGCAGCGCCCGCGCGCCTGGGTTCGCTGGGGGGCCACTGCGCAGCAGCGACTCGAGGCAGGGCACCATGAACGCGCACGTCTTGCCGCTTCCAGTCTGCGCGCAGGCCATCAGGTCCCGGCCCTGCGCCCGGGTCCACTCTCCTCCTCCTCCTGCTTCTCTTTCCATCCACCCTCCTCCTCCATCCCTCCTCCTCCTCCTCCATCCCTCATCCACCCTCCTCCTCCGCCTCCACCCTCCTCCTCCACCCTCCTCCTCCTCCGGGTCCACCTTCCTCATCCTTCCTCCTCCTCCATCCCTCCTCCTCCTCCTGCTTCTCGTTCCTCCTGACTCCCTTACCCTTCTCCCTGCCTTACTCCCTCCTCGTGTTCCTTGTCCTCCTCCTCCTAGAATTACCACTATTCTACTATTACAACTGTCCTACTGTCATCATCATTCATAAGACTACGAAGACTAGATCTCACACGAATGCAAGCCATCATTCCAATCCAACAAATGATAATAGCACCACGAACGCAACCACTGCTATTGCTTCGCCCGAAGCTGTTGCTACTCTTACGACTAATACAACTACAAAAAAGACTACGATTACTACGACTACAACTACGACTACAACTACGACTACAACTTCGACTTCGACTACGAATACGACTACGACCAGCACTGGCCCGTGCAGCTCCAAGAACTGCAGGGTGCCGCTCCTCTTGCGGCGGGCTCGCGTCGCGCCTGCGCGCTGGCGCGTGACGCCGCATGGACCGTTCAACTCTGATCATCGATCGCATCAACGCTCACACTGGCAAATTCTGCGCCACTGGCGGCGCTCCGCTGTGAAGGCCCGCGGCGGGGTCGTCGCCGCGACGCGATCCCACCGCAACCGGCACCCAGGCATGTAGCAACCAGAGTCGTATTTAGCAGTGCATGGCGAGGGGAAGCATCAACGCATCGTGCACCCGAACCGTAAGCATTTTGGCCCGTGAGCCGCCTCCCGCGGCGTGCGTCGCAGCCACCGTACTCATAGCCTTGATCCTGAGAAAAACGATGTAGCTGATGAACTTCAGCACGAGGCGCTGCCCCAGCGCGTGGCCCCCGAAGCCTGCGCCGGGTGGACCTCGCGCGGCGCGCGCCTGGGCGCGAGCCGGCGGGCCGCCCGCTGGTGCTCTGGCCCGCGGGGACTGCGCCGTCGGGCAGCACGACACGTGAGGCTCGCGGCGCGGAGACGTCGCGCCCTCGCGGCGCGTGCCTCGCCTGCGCGGCGTGCCCGCGGCGGCCGCGCAGCGAGCCACGAGGCGGCGAAGGTGGCCGAGGCGCGGGCCCAGCAGGGCCACGGGCGGGCGCCGCCCCCCCCCGCGGCGCGCGCCTCGTGCTCCCCGCACCCGGCCTGGGCGCCCCCGCCGCGGAGCCTCGGTGCCTCTCTCGTGGGCATCTGGCCCGCGGCCACCTCCACCCTGACCAGGCTGGCCACCGCGGGTCTGGCCGGCCCCATGGAGGGCCGCCGCTCCGACGATGCGCTGCGCCTGGCAGGCCGTCAAGATCGCGGCCGGGCGTTCCAGCCCGCTGTGGATCGGCGACCTATCGCCGAGTGATCCGCTACGGGCCCCCGATGGCGAATCCGCACGCTCCTGGGCGGGGCGGGTTTTTTAGGCCCCTACCGGCGATGAATGGGCCATTGGGGCTCAACGCATTCCCCCCCTGAGCCTTTTCCCCCCTAACGTTGCCCGTGGCCCATGCAGCGCACAAGCCACCCTGTGGGCGCTGATTAGCTCACACCCGCTGTCGCTGGAGCTGGCGTGGATTCGTCGACGCCCCAGGTAGTCGCGACCAAGGCTGTCCTTCCCGACACTCGCGAAGCCACGAGAGGGGGTCGCCAGCGGTGACCCCGTTCAAATCGTTTCCGCGGCCGCGTCGACCCGCGAGCCTGACTCGACCGAGGAGGAGCCAGATCCCGGCGGTCATTATCGCCTCCTCCGGCGTGGGGTTCATGCGAGCAGACTGGCAGGGCGGCGGCCCAGCGGGGAAGAGGGTGCTCCTGGTGAGGAAGGGGATGCTCTTCCCTGCAGCTGACAGCTGAGGACCAAGGTCCTCTGGCTCGCACACGATTAACCTGAAAGCGGCGGACCAGAAGCCAAAGGGCTAAGAATTGTCATTGACCCCGACCAGGGAGGAGGGCCGTGATGCCCACAGAGATGCCCACTAATTTGGGACATGCTCCGTGATTGCTCGCGTTGCCAGGGCGGGCGGTGCGTCGCTGCGCCGCTGACGCATCGTGTCCAGAACAACGGTTTCGCGCTCGCGACAGGATTGCGGGCGGTCAACGTGCGCAACAGCCGAATGTATCTTCACAACGAAAGCAGAGCGAGGAAATGCACCCTTGTTTTACCCCACGCGTGGCCCCTCGCATCAAGAAGATACGCGTCCGACCCAAGCGGCGGGGCTCCGCCGAGCCTGGCAACCGCCACGGGACTGGAGGGCTCAGAAGAGCGCCTGCCTACAAACATACCTTGCCCCCGCATCTGGCGCGTCTGAAGGAGTTGGGCACGGGGCACCAACAACGAAAGCTCAATGGGGAGAGCGCACGTGACACCCTGCGCTTGGGCTCCATGACTGTGCGCGAATCAGCTGCGGGGCCAGCGGAGGCTGGCAGGACACTGACCCTGACCCGATCTCCCCGACGCCGCGACGACGCTTCCTGTGAGCACCGAGCGACCCGGGTCGCGGGTTGCGCCCGGCGCCCGCTACGGGGACCACCAGGGCGCCCACCGTGGGACCATCGTGGTGCCAACAATCGCTTCGGTCCAAGAGTATCAAGGAAAAGCAGCGCACCACCCAGACACCCTCGAGTCATGAAAAAATTACGACGGGATGTTTTTCCTTATTTTCGGCCTCTAGGGGACCTCACCGTGCCTCGGGACCGTCAAAAAACGACTCAGGATGAGAAACCGGTCCCCGGGAGTGGGTCTGAACCTTCGGGGGGTCGCGTAATGAAAAAACATGACGTCGGGAGCCTGGGCAGAAGGCACTCAGGCGACGCCGAAAACATCTTCCCTGACAGGCTGGGCGGACATACTGAGCACCATAGTGGTCCCAGGGGGGGCGACTGCTAGGCACCATAGTGGTCACAGGCACCAAATTGATGGTCCCAAGAGGACGGGTATGAGTCAGAACAAAAACTGCATATGCGCATAGCTTCAGCAACGATCCGTGAAGGGACATCGCCACTCTGAAGCATGCGCATGCGAACGGTAAGTAGGCCTCCTTCCTCATCTTCCTCCTCCGCCTCATTCTCCTCCTTCTCCCCCATCTTCCTCCCTCCTCTTCCCCCATTCCTCCTCCCCTATCCTCCTCTTCAAACACCTCCTCCTCCGCCTCCTCCTCCTTCTCCTCCTCCTTCTCCTCCCCTCCCTCCCGTGCAAAGTCGGCATACGCTAATATGTTAACTAGATCATGCGCGACAAGCGTCCGAACACTCAAGGGGGTGGCAAACAGGACGGCGTGCGTGACGCACGTGCGAACGCATGCACAAGAAACCCACAACTTGGCACATCTAGCGCGTCAACCTCTGGGTGGGTATGGTATGTTGCACCCCCAGAGCCCGCGATGCACATCGCAATTGCGGATGCTCAGTAGTGGGAACGCCATTTTGTGGTCCTCCCAAGGCTGGGTCAATGAGAATTGTGTCAATTCGGAGCCCAACCGTGTGAAAGGCCATGGTTCCCACAACTCACCCCAACCACTACGGCAAGCTGTAAGTTTCCGCACACATCCGTGTCCACCTCATCCCGTCTGCCTCCTATCATGTCCTCTTCCGCCTCATCCCGTCTCCATCGTCGCACGTTTCTTCAGTTTCTTTATCACCTCCGTGTGTCCAGGTCATCAAAAAATTGCTGCTCCCTCCTTCAGCCTACTGCCTCCTCCCAGCTTCCTCTCGATCCCTCCTTTTCATCCGTCCTCTTCGAATATCCTGCACCATCCCTCCTCCTGCCCTCCTCTTTTATCTCTTGCCCATGCCAGGCACACCACCGTCGCCCCTTCGCTGCGCTCCTGGTACGAAAGGGTACCGTTCCGCGAAGACCTCCTTTTCCTCCTCCTCCTCCTCCTTCTCCTCGTCCTCCTCCTCCTCCTCGTCCTCCTCCTCCTCCTCCTCCTCCTCCTCCTCCTCCTGCTCCCCCTGCTCCTCCGCCTCTGGCTCCTCCTCCGCCTCCTCCCCCTCCTCCTACATCCCCCACGGCTGGCCGAAATAACGATCGGGATCGAGTTCTTCTGCACCGGGGTGGGCCGCTCGTAGCCGCAGCGGCGCAGGTTGTCGGCCAAGGAGTCCGTCAGCTTTGCCTGGCCACGGAGAGCAGGAGGAGGGGGAAGGAAAAAGAGGAGGAGGAGGAGGAGGAGGAGGAGGAGGAGGAAGGGGAGGGGATGGAGGCAAGGTCAAAGGGAACTCCAGCCATCCGTTCTTCCTCGAGGGTGCGGGAGAAGAGGGAGGCGTGAAGGTCAGGGGAACTCCAGCCATCCTTTCTTCGGCGAGCGGGCAGGGGAGAGAGGAGGCGTGAAAGTCGGAGGCAACGCCAACCGTCCGCTCTTCAGCGACAAGGCCTGCAGGCAGCACTCGCCGGGGACGCGGGGCTGGAGCAGAGGAAGCGGACCGAAGGGCTGGGCGGGAGAGAAGGACGGTGAAGCAGAGACAGCAGCCAAAGATGGCCCAACAGAACGCATGGCCTCCTCTCCATGGCATGCCTCTCTCTCGCGGTTGGGGGCGAATTCGGGGCAGTCTGCCGCCGTCCTCAGAGAACGGCATTCTGCTTCAAGTCAAGCCAGGTCTCACAGCGTGGCTTCTGAAGCCCACTTCCACTCCAAGAGGCACGCAGCTCTCCTCTCGGGTCCCCCTCCCCGCCTCTCTGTCGGTCGCATCTCTCTCTCTCTCTCTCGTTCGCTCGCCAGTGCCAGGGGGGCACGGGGCCCCCGCACCCCGAGCACCGCCATGGAACAGGATCGCGCCTCCGAGAATCTGTTGATGGGCTTGATGTCCTGGACGTCGTTACCCGTGATCTGCACGGGGATGTTGTCGTAGCTGTCGAAATCGATGCCAGAGGTGTTCTTGCCACTCGTCTGGCGCGCAGAGGGTGGCCGTAGCGGGGCACAGACAAGCCGGACAAAGGCACCTCAGGAGTTTCTGAGACGACGAGCCGGCCCAGGAAAGGGGGGGGAGCCAAATCGAGGCGACCCCCTCACGGCAACCTTTGATATAAGGCAGAGGTTGGCATGAGCTGACCTGAAAATTGTGGCTGAGGAGGAGGAGGAAGAGGAGGAAGAGAAGGAAAAGGAGGAAAAGGAGGGAAAGGAGAAAGGAGAAGAAGGAGGAGAACACCTCACACTGAGGAAGGAACACAGAGAAAGGAGAAGAAGGGAGCGGGAATGAACGAGGAGATGGACGACGGGGAGGACGGCAAGGAGGAGGAGGAGGAGGAGGAGGAGGAGGAGTAGAAGCAGTCACGGGGCGCCGCCGCTGGTCTGGAATTGTGCGGAGGAATCCTCCCCCTCCTCCT